GGGTCCCCTTAGTAACACCGCTGACCCTGGGCCCAGCTGCTGCCGGTGGTCACGTCTGGCGTCAGGGCCACGGCAGCGACAAACGAAGTGTCCCAGTTTCACCGCACACTAGAGGACATGGGGTTTGAGTTTAGGCAGGTGTTGTGAGGTGCTCTGGACGTGCTCTGTGAGTGTGTCTGTTTCCACTGTAACTCCCCCCCCCCTCCCCGGCCGCCAGGGTCTGGAGGTGCTCTGTGAGTGTGTGTCTGTAACTCCCCCCCCTCCAGGGTCTGGAGTTGCTCTGTGTGTGTGTGTCTGTAACTCCCTCCCCCCCCGCCGTAATGGTCTGGAGGTGCTCTGTGTGTGTGTGTCTGTAACTCCCCCCTCCCCCCGCCGTAATGGTCTGGAGGTGCTCTGTGTGTGTGTGTGTCTGTAACTCCCCCCGCCAGGGTCTGGAGGTGCTCTGTGTGTGTGTGTCTGTAACTCCCCCCTCCCCCCCCCCCGCCGTAATGGTCTGGAGGTGCTCTGTGAGTGTGTAGTGTGTAGTGTGTGTCTGTAACCCCCCCCCCCGCCGCTAGGATCTGGTGCTCTGTGTGTGTGTGTCTGTAACTCCCCCCGCCGTAATGGTCTGGAGGTGCTCTGTGAGTGTGTGTCTGTAACTCCCCCCCCCCCCCGCCCCGCCAAGGTCTGGAGGTGCTCTGTGAGTGTGTGTGTGTGTGTCTGTAACTCTCCCCCCCCCCGCCGCCGCCAGGGTCTGGAGGTGCTCTGTGAGTGTGTGTCTGTAACTCCCCCCCCCCCGCCAGGGTCTGGAGGTGCTCTGTGAGTGTGTATCTGTAACTCTCCCCCCGCCGCCAGGGTCTGGAGGTGCTCTGTGAGTGTGTGTCTGTAACTCCGCCCCCCCCCGCCGCCAGGGTCTGGAGGTGCTCTGTGAGTGTGTGTCTGTAACTCCCCCCCCCCGCCGCCGCCAGGGTCTGGAGGTGCTCTGTGTGTGTCTGTAACTCCCCCTCCCCCGCCGCCAGGGTCTGGAGGTGCTCTGTGAGACAGCCGAGGACTGCTGGGACAATGACGCCGAGGCGCGCGTCTCGGCCAGCTGCGTGCTGGAGCGGATGGGCGCGCTGCGCCATCAGCAGGCGGCCGGCGCGCCGGCGCTCCGCTCGCCCTCGGTGCCGACCGTGGCGGCCGGCGCCGGCAGCCTGGCCGAGCCGCTGCTGCCGCCGCCGCCGGCCGGGCCGCCGCACCAGCTGTCGGAGCCGCTGCTGCCGCCCGCCGCCGCCCCCTCCGCATCCGGGCCGCTCTAGGTGAGCGCCGCCACGGCCGCCATCCGGGTGGGAATCGGGGCTTCGTCCTCTGCCTCTGTGCTCAGTCCACTGACTGCGGGCTGTGTGTTACAATTCTGTGTCCGAGCGGCGCTGGCGCCACGGCCAGGGTCGCCTCCTGCCCCGGCCGGTGGTGTCAGCAGCTCGGGCCGTCAGTGGCCGCCTGTGGGTACATATGCCTACTGAACGCCCCCGGACGGAGCCGGGCGGCTGTGTGTGACCGTCCCTCCCCTCGGTCCCACAGAAGGCGGACGGCGAGCGCCGAGCCGCGTGGAGCCGGCGCAGAGGGAGACGGGCGGCCGGCGCCGCGTGTGCCACAGATCGCCGTACCTGCGCGCTGTACCTGTCCGTAGCGGCCGCGCCGCGCCGCCGCGTGTCGCCGAGGACGGTGCCGCGCCGTACCTGTCGGCCCGCCGCCCGGGCCGGCGCCGACGGACAGCCGCGCCGCACCGGGCGGGCGCTGCGCGGTCCGCGGTCCACAGCAGTCACTGAGAGAGAGAGTCAGCGAGTGAGTCAGTGAGTCAGTCAGGGAGCGAGTGAGAGCGGTGTGGTGCAGTGGTCGGGAGCGCACGCGCGCGCGCCTGAGTGCGATCTGGGTGTGGGGGCGGGCGGCGCCGTGCCGCGCGCGTCCGCTCCGCTGGGTGTCGACCGGCGGCGATAGTCGTGTTGGTGTTTTCTGGCGTTTATTTGACGCGCTGCTGCCGCTGCGCCGCTGCCGCCGCCTCCGTGTGCGAGGGAGGGGCCGTGTCCGACCGACCGACCGACTGACTGACGGGTATGCTGGGCCGCTCGGCCGGCCGTGAGTACCTCAGCGCGCGCGCGGCCGCCGGGGCGCGCAGCCTCAGTTGCTCAATACTGTCCGCTCCTGAGTGGCGGCCGCCGCGCCGCCGCCCGCTGGTCCCCGGGTAAGCCGCCGGTCCGGGCGCCGCGCCGCGCCGCCGGCGCCCGCCGGTATCGGTTTACTGTTCGTACAATCGTTATGTTCCTAGCCGGGTTCGGCGGCCGGCCCCTCTGCCGGCCGCTCCCCATATTCCACCCTCTGATGCCACCTGCCAGCCTAGTGGACGCGACGCCAGCGTTTAGTTCGTCTCATTCTGTCCCAGTCTGTTACCATGTAGTACAAATCGTATTGTACATATAGAGGTAGTGGCAGCGGGCGCGGACGGTTTTATTATATATATACGGCGCGTGCTGTACGGCGCGCCTGGCGTAGAAGCGGGGCGGCCGCGCCGGCCGGCCGGCGGCCACGGCTCCGAGCGCGAGCGGCCGCCGGCGCCGCCCCGGCCTAGGTATCCCGTCTCTGCTAACAAGGTGTAACCGTTTACCAGCTAATATCGTGCGGAATAAACACACAGCTGCTGGAGACCGGTCTGTCTGTCTGCCTGTCTGTCTGCCTGTCTGTCTGTCTGCCTGTCTGAAGGAGTGCAGCTTCCCGAATTGCACAGAGGGCAAAACTTTGGGGCCTGACAAGTAGCGCCCCTGGAAGGGACCGGCCACTACCAGCCGAGGGCGGTCGGGAGAGAGGGATCGACATCCCGGTGCTGACCTAGACGCAGGGTTACACTGCCAGTATCTTCCGCAGCGAGTCATCACTCGAGCCTTGGCGCCGTGTGTAGGCCGAGTGCCGAGCGCTGGGAAGAGGCAGGTGCAGAGAGCGGCCAGAGACCGCGCTGTCGCTGAAAATACGTCTCCAATGCTCGACCGGTTTCAGTTACTATCACCTAAGTAGTGTCTTGTGTCTAGTACCGATACATATTCAGGGCTGCGTCCCGGACAGTCGAGACTGGCCCTAGAAACCCGACGGTAGGGACCGTGTGACCGTTCGGTGCACACTGCTCGGGGCGTCGATGCACACCAATCTGTATGTACGTTAGTAGGGCACAAATGATAAGTCGCAGGAAGGTCAGTTTGCCGGACGCGGGCTCATGTAACGCAGTTTCGGGGCGAGTGGGGCCCTGGGCTATCAGCTACCGGGCACTGGGCAGCATGTGCGGCGTGTATCATTCTCAATGAGTACCGTCGCTGTCATTCTTTTACTGCATAAATCCCACAGAAATGGGCTTACTCCATTCGTAGTTCTAGGTGCCTTCATGCGAGTGAAAATGGGTCAGGCTAGTGGGGACGGATCATGTGTATTTTTCACGGACCTGGGACGTTCTCAGCAGCTGCGCTGGGGGACTGGTCGGCCTTCAGACCGGGCCGCCGTCGGGCGGCAGTTGCGGGGCTACGGCGTGCCGCCCGGGTAGCGGGAGAGCTCGCAGCGCAGGCCGTCGTGGTCGATGCGTCGGACGCACGACTGGTCCAGGCAGCCGGTGGAGGTGGGCGCGCGCACCGAGCAGCCGGCCGGCAGGCTGGCCAGCACGTCGGGCACCACGCGCACCTGGTGCACGCCGCGGCCGGCGTAGCCGTCCAGCCGCCGCGGCACCATGCGCACCGGCCGGCCCGTGTACGCCCGGTTGGCGCACATCTTGGTGACCTCCAGCGTCCGCCGGTAGTCGGCCGCCGAGACCGGACAGTACTCGCACGCGTACAGAGTTCGCGACGGGTAAGCAGCACACGGGTTCACAAAGCTCCTGTCGTAGTTCCAGAGTTTTTGTTTCGGTGGCAAGATGCCGCGTTCGGTGGCGAACTGCTGGGCGCAGACGTTGGCCCTGTGCTCCCTGTTCCACGGCGCCAGCAGAGCGCGAAAGGCCGGCTTGGTGCGCTCCATGGTTCCGTGCGCCACGTGCCGGTCGTAGGCCAGGTCATAGGTGGTCACAAACGGGTTCACCCGCAGCGGGCTGATCTCCAGGATACTGCCGCACACGCTGCTCTGACTCTGCTTCACGTCATACGATGGCTTGTCCCGTTTTCCTAGGAACGAATCGTACTCGGGCATACGGTAATGCTGTCTGTAGGTCGAGTCGTGCTTGAAGCATTCACGTTTGTATTTGCTTCGTTCTTCATACCAGTTGCCGATGAGTGTTGCCTTGTCGAACCGCCGGTCGGTATTGTTAACTCGGGCGGTGATTTGCTGCTCGACAATGGCAGCGCTGCAGTCCAACACAGTCATCTTCGGAACAGGGAATTTTGAGTGCCAAGATTCTACCCTTATGCCATCAAGCCGAGCCTAAGTTTATACAAGAATAGATCCCGAAGTTAATTTTGAGAATGCATGTAGATGCGCAAACCAGTGACCAAAAAAATGTCCGGCGGCACTTTCGGCTGCGGTCGGTTCGTTTAGAATTTTCTCCGCCGCACGTGATGTAGTTGCAGAAATCTTTGGCAGAGCTGGCAGAGATCTTACCAGAGCTGAGCAGCGTCAGCCACCAAAACTCGAACTTTAGGCAATCGTACATCGCTTCAACAAACGGTTCACTGTTGTTGCACGCATTCATAATACGCATCAGACCTCTACGGGACTCTCAACTATTCAGTTAGGATGGCAACATAAGTAGCGCGCTTAGTTTGGGTCGATCATGACACGATAATATTAGATAACCACATAATTTTGCTTCATCTCAATATTTTGGCGGCGAATCTGGCCAAAATATGCCTGTTAAAGAGGCAAAATATTAATGCTACGCATCTTCGAACACCGTTCTATAGCGCTAAGCCTTTCTTTGTAATGAAGCAAGTAGTAACGAAGGGCATGATAGCTGTCAGCCTCTTCGTTATCCTCGCTATTCTAAATTCGTTGGTCTCAACTAAAGCACTTAACGATAATTTTCATCCGAAGCACATTTTGTTTATTACAAAATCCCAAATACATTCGTCAAGAACGGTCTGTTTAAATATTTACATGCCTACCAGTAGCAAAAGAGGATAAAAACTTCACGATCACATGCATACAGATTCCAGAAACCGAAGAGTTCATTTCAGATCTGACCTAGCTACAACGTCTACACCAATCGAACAGCGGCAAACATTTACATTAGCTGCGCCTAGGCGCCAACCCGAGTACAAATGTGAGCGGCCTTCGCCTGGTAAAGAGGATGATAGAACAGTCTCTACGGAGCAACATCATATATATGTATAGATGTATATGGAATGACAAAAATAGTAAGCTGCGGTGCAGGTACTGATGAATCATGAGATTACAACGCTGCAGGCCGGCCAGCATCCTCCACAGAGCAGACTCAATAGAGAGATTCCATGATCCATGGCCGTGTTCGCACTGATCACACACGGCGCCAAACCATACACCAATAGGGACTCTGAATCAAACGGTGCAGACCAAGGAATGCAGCTCGACCCTCGTCCAAAAGACCAATAAATAGATGTGCATCTCACATGAAAAAAATGCCTTACAAACCAAACGTCGCAAATAATTGCAAATGCTTAAAGTCACTTGTAAGTTGTAAGTACATTTGTCGCATTTGGCTGGAGCTCCGCACTGCGGCGTGCCATAGTGCGCCGCGCTGGCGCTAGATGTCTCTAGCGGCGCGGGCTGGGCCGGTGCCGCGGCACGGTCACTGTGCGCGCCCGGCTGCCGTCCGCCGGCGGCGGCCGGCAGAGCGGTCTGTCCGTCCGTCACCGTCACTGACACGGTCCCCCGGTCCCGGTCCCGGTCCCTGCGGCCGCTACACCCACGAGTCGCCGGCGGGCGCGCCGCCGCCGCCGCCGCCGCCGCCGGCCGGCTCGTCCCGGTAGCCCCACACCTCGCCCGGACCGGGCTGGTGCTCGTAGTCGGCGGCCGGCCCGGCCTGCTGGCGGGCCTTCTTGTCGCGGTTCACCTGGGCGTAGACGGGCTCTCCGGGCTGGCGGCCCCCCTGCCGGCGGCCGGACAGGACACGTTAGGGGCGGCGCAGCACACAGTCGGGCAACACACGGAAACACCTCGTGCCGCCGCTGAGAGCGGAACGGACACCACTGTCAACACGGCACACAATGCACGTACACTGCTCGCGGTGATTTGAAGCATGCTTCTCAGCTGTCAACGTTACTAATACCTTCAACTATTACAACAAACTGAGCCAGTCCATCCACCGGCTGGTACGGCCCAGTTGGTGCGGCCAGGGCAGAGCTGAGGGGATATTCCCAGCTGAGGGGACAGGCGCCAGACGACGGACGGGACGCGCCGGACCGTACCGCCCCGAACCCACGCGCCGGACGGGAGCAGGCGCCACCACGAGGCCGTTCAGTGCCTACTCAAGCGCGCAACCGTTATCTCATTTTTACGGAATATATCATTGGCATGTCGAGAAAACAGTTGCATAACCAGAGCAATAACTTTTCTAATTTAAAAGCGTACTCATCTAAAGGTCAATAATTTTCGCATACGGCTCCAAAATCATACAGTGCACATCTCAAGTTGAAAATGCATCACCCAAGGTTGTTCAGTGATCACAGCTCTGCTATTCAAGAGTTCTCAAGAGGACCAGAAGTCGCCCGCGTCGAAGGAAAGGGCTGGGTTTGTTACATGGCCTTGACGGATCCACTAACGGCCACCCAATCTAACTATACCAATCATGCCTGCACCGCCACCCGAACCCAGTCACAGACACGAACTAAATCACAGAACGAATCCCACCCAGAGAGACGGAAATCATGTAAACAGGCAACAGCCACCTTTGTCTTTCCAACCACAACATACACGAAAAGCGCACCCACCAAAGAAAAATGCAATCAAAACCCGTGAAACGTGTTATCCGAAACAAATAAAACAAAAGCACGAGAATGCAGAGTCGAAATGATGACGGTCATCCATTCAGAAGCCAAAGAAGGGAAATTCACTTATTAGAAGCGACGAAAACAGCTACAAAACAGGCACAGAGAACCATCAGAACATAAAGAGGTCGGCGGGTGCTGAGTGTGGGGCCACGGGGCCACCTACCGAGTCCGGCTTATTGAGCATCACGGTGCTGCGTCAGTGCAGCGTGGGGAGCGGGGGGGGGGCGTGTTAGTACAGTGCGAGAGCGGTGTTAGTACAGCGGGCCGGCCACGCAGAGTCTCCCACACACGGAGAGCGGCCGTCCGCCGCGCTGTATCGGTCCCCGTATTGACCCGCTGGCGAGCAGACGTTAGTGAGCGGCCCGGCGCAGCATTCACGACCGTGTTAATCAGTCAAACAAACCAGTGGTACCAACAGAAACGGGCAGCATAACCAGCCATCGGCAACGGTTGACAAGTCGTGTGGCCGAGAGAGAGGGCAGAAGAAGGTGCCAAAAGTGAACAGACAATAATGACCATTCCGACAAGGCCACAGCCCTGTAGCAAGGCCAGGAGCCCCGTTCCAGACCCATGTCGTGGCACAATGAGTGCGGTACCGGCCAGTCTCCAGCGTCCGAAAATAGCGCAGCCAAAACGCCGCCACCCAAGAGTCTCACGCGCCCCGAACAGGCAATGAATATCTGCATAGGCAACTAGGGCGCCGCGGCCGGCCGACGGGCGCCCAGTCAGACGCTGCAGAGGATTTACGGCCGACTTCAGCGCATCGAACCTTGTTTATGCAGCCCAATGGGAGATATAACAAACTGAGAGGAGATCCGCAGCTCCCCAGCGGGGAGCGGCGTTCGGCGCGGCGCGCCACGTACTGAAGCAGACACCGCACGCAAACGCCCAGTCCGTGGCATAGCAGCCGGCGTCACACCCGTCGGCGATAAAGAGCCGCGTCCCTGTCACATAGCTGACACCGTGTAACCGAACCCCAAACACACACCCGAGCAGCTGCTACCGGGTCCCCGAGGCCCCACAGACCCCACACCGCCCCACAGACCCACACAGACACACAGACCCACACCGCCCCACACAGACCCACAGACCGACACGGGGCCCACTCGCCGGCCGGCGTCTGGTCAGCGGGCCCGCAGTCAGCAGCGGACACCGCCGCGAGAGCGGGGCGGCGGGCCGGCCGCGGACACCCTCAGCACCTGAACGGCGGCGGCGGGGTGCCAGTTACAGGTGGGACGCAGTGTGGAAGGGTCAGTCGCGCACCAAATACCAGCCACCTGAAGATAACAGCACGGAACATTTACCCGTGCATATCACAGTCAAGCGGACCACCCCAGCACAGGCCTACACAGATACATTACAGACCCACATCCCACCCTCGCTCCACGCCCTTCCGTCCAGACTAGCTGATGTAATTCCCACCCAGACCATCTACACCCTCGACAACCCTCCGGCCCAGGCCCGCTACACCCCCGGAGCGCAGCCCCGTCTGTTACGTACCGGCGGCGGGTACATGCGCACGCCGCCGGGCGGCGGCGGCCGCGGCTCGTAGCCGGGTAGCTCGCCGAGCGCGATGTGCTCGCCGTCGGGCGGCGGCGGCCGCGGCCGGCCGTAGGTGCCGTTGCCGCCGGCGGCCGAGGCGCCGCGCGGCATGGTGCGGTCCTCGTACTTTGTGCCGCCCTGGCTGGCCATGGGCCGGTTCAGCGTGCTGTTGGTATTGCTCGGAGAGTTGGGGTTCGTGTTCCTGCCGGCACGGTGAGCGGTCAGCGGCGGTGGTGAGGGGTGAGAGGTGAGGGTGTGTGGGGTGTAAGTGGGGGGGGGGAGGGGCAAAGGCAGGCAGTGCAGTGTGTGCGTGGGAGGGGGTATGAGTGCTAGTGGCGGTGCGATGCAATAGGAAAAGCGACAAGCAATACCCGACTGCGCTTTAAGGCTGAAACAGACTCTTTCCGCATTCAGGAAATCGCATGCAAATACATGATAACTCAAATACATTATGATTATTCCCGCATCAATCGCATGCCATTTCCTGACTGCGGAAAGAGTGTACATATTTCAGGCTTTAGCGAGACAACGAATGTCGAACAGCGACAAAGCGGGCCTCAATGACTAAGAACGAGACAAAGAGTGTTTCATAAACCTCATATCCAGATCGGACCGCATCAACTTCCCGAGAAACGCTGGCTGGCCTAAGTTTTCAGAAAAGTGACAAAGCGTCTCAACTTGTTTCCCAATCTGGCCGTGTCCGTGTCTCCGCGAGTCGCGAACCAATCGAGCCCGGTGACTGTGACACACACTCAGAGACCCACCCCAATACTGCACGCTCCCAGCATCCCCTACTAATACGGCTCCCGGGCACGCGGATCCATTAGACACCACACGATTCATTAGCCCGTAGTAGCGCTCCGGTTAGCGACTCGTTGCGAGTTTAATAACGGGAAGCAGGCCGAGCAGCAGATGGCTGCGAGCCGCGCTCATCTGACCTCGGCCGTCGGCCGGCTGACCAGACACATTGGCCTGAGAACGCGGGCCGGACGGTCACAGGCAGTGGCCACTGGCCAGCCAGGCGACTACACCGTCCGGGCCGGGCCAACTCCCACAGCGCGGCTCAGAGCAGTGTCAGACCGCACCCACCGTCCCCGGGGCTACCAAAATACAATACCGCGTGACGGCAACACCGGCCTTCCTAGCCTCGACAGCAGGCAAGCTATGTAAGAGAAATATTCTGACAAAGCACCAAACAAGCTGCCTCACTCGCTCTCTCGCAATCACCAGCACCCCAGCAGCTGTGCTGCCCCCCCCCCCCCACTCCCGCCAGTCTCCCCAGTTCTCTCTCCCCTCCGCCACTCTGCCGGGGGGCGCGCGCTCTCTCACCGGGCGGCCACGGATTTGGTGACGAAGTCGTTCTCCTTGTAGCCGGCCTTTCGGTAGACGTCGCGCAGCTCCTGGTGCAGCCACATCGAGTAGAGCAGCTGCGAGGCGAACTTGATGACGCGCGAGCTGTATCGGTGCCGGTGGCCGGTGATGACGTGCAGCCGCTTCACGCCGTCCAGCTCGAACAGAGACCTGCCGGGGCAGGTCAGGGCGGGTCAGGTCAGAGGAGCCGTCCAGCTCTAACAGAGACCTGCCGGGGCAGGGCAGGTCAGGTCGGGTCAGGTCAGGTCAGAGGAGCCGTCCAGCTCTAACAGAGACCTGCCGGGGCGCGGACGGGACAGGTCAGCCGGCAGGGTAGGAGAGTCATACAGCTTAAACAGAGACCTGGCCAAAAGTAGTGCCCAAAGTTTTCAAAAACAAGTTACAAGCTGAACAGTCAACTAGTAGAATTAGTTAACGGAAGTCCCTGGGTTAACATCCTTTCAGTAAGCATCGCGTGAAACGGCGACTGAGTCTGCCAGAAAATGAGCGGCGAAGACGGCACGCGAGCTCTGCGCGGCAGTGAAGGACAAAATCACCACGGCCTGTTTCCATCTGAGACCGCCCAGTGGCTGGCCAGCCGGCCGGACGGGCAGGCCCACACAGACAGCCCCGACTGTAGCCAAGTGCGCGTCTGAGTCTCGCCAGTGACGGCCGCGGCGGCTGCGGTATCATTGAGAGAGTCACAGGGGAAATTAGACTATCGCGGGCCCATTACTAAATTATACCGGACCTCATGGACAACAGCACGACGCAGCTGGAGCCCGCAATGTCTTCAGACCAGCAGGGGCATTTAAGTACAAACCGAGGGAATACAAAACATTAACGATACCCCACTTCTTCCACGATGGACTCAGGTATGGGTAATCGTTGGGATGATTTGTTCAGGGTAGGGCCAAAATCTGTTCAGATGCTGACACACTGTTTGATAGCAACAAACTTTCTGTATGGCGTATTTCGTGTGGTATACTAAGCTCTCGGCCCTTATAGAACAGACAGGGCACCTGGTCTCCCCGTAACGCGACAGACAGACACACACACGGCGGTACGGCCGGCCCGGCGGCGGCAGTCGTTTGGGGTTATGACGCCATCAAGTCATTAACTAAGCATGCCATCAGTCGGCCCTGAGCGCCTCCGGCGGCACGCCGGGCAGGCCGACTCATCAGTGTCCCAGGAGCGCGGGACGGGCGGCCTGAGTGGCCTGTCATAACCGAGCGCCGACACGGGCCGCGGCTGGCCCTAACGCGGCCGGCCGGCCGAACAGACCGACAGACAGTGATAGACCGGACAGACCGGGCGGAGACTGGCTCTAGCCCGGTCAGCCGGATAGACCGATACAGTGACAGACCCGGGGCCCCGGCTGGCCCTAACCCGGCCGGCCGGACAGACCAATACAGTGACAGACCCGGGGCCCCGGCTGGCCCTAGCCCGGCCTGCCGAACAGACAGACAGCCAGTGATAGACCGAACAGACCGGGCCCAACAACGCGGATACCCAGCCGCTTTCACAGGTTAAACCCGGGACGCCCAGCGAATATTTACTGCCGCTCCATCGACCAAATTGATCCTGAAGCACTTTCGAGCAGAATGCGCTGATGCAAGCATCTGTTCGATGCTGAACGTTCTCTCAAATAGACCATTAAATCCATTTGCGACATTTCAATAGGTCGTGGAATCCCGAGAAGCGTCGCGACAAGTGATCCATTGACGTACGTCACATTTGACGTCCATTCAACACTTTGCTTCTCCAGTAGATTGCACCATCCCATCCCGCGCCACAAGCACGTCGTCACATATATGCAGACAGCGTTGGTTTGATCAGTCGCCCCGATTTCATCAGACGCGGTGTGCCGGAGTGTACACACACACACGACACCTATATACGATTGGTTTCATTGGATACAACGGCCTTAATCAGCTCCCAGACAAGCATTAGCTTCCTCGGCTGTCGAAAGAAAGAGACCCTGTGATCAGATCCTACGGGCTGAGTGGCCCCAGTGCACTGCCCCGAGTCAGCCGCTGCCGACCACGCTCACCTGGCGGCAGTCTGTACTCTGTGTGCACTGTCCGGTCCGCTCACCTGGTGAACTCGGCGCTGTGGTCTGTACTCTGTAGTCTGTGTGATGTGTGTCATGTCCGACCCACTCACCTGGTGAACTCGGCGCTGCAGTCTACTCTGTGTGCACTGCCCGGCCCGCTCACCTGGTGAACTCGGCGCTGTACTATCTAGCTGGTACTCTGTACTACTCTATGTGCTCTGTGTACTGCCCGGCTCACCCGCTCACCTGGTGAACTCGGCGCTGCAGTCTACTCTGTGTGCACTGCCCGGCCCGCTCACCTGGTAAACTCGGCGCTGTACTATCTGGGTACTCTGTACTACTCTATGTGCTCTGTGTACTGCCCGGTCCGGCCGCTCGCCTGGTGAACTCGGCGCTGTACTATCTAGGTACTCTGTACTACTCTATGTGCTCTGTGTACTGCCCGGTCCGCCCACTCACCTGGTAAACTCGGCGCTGTACTATCTAGGTACTCTGTACTACTCTATGTGCTCTGTGTACTGCCCGGTCCGCCCACTCACCTGGTGAACTCGGCGCTGTACTATCTAGGTACTCTGTACTACTCTATGTGCTCTGTGTACTGCCCGGTCCGCCCACTCACCTGGTAAACTCGGCGCTGTACTATCTAGGTACTCTGTACTACTCTATGTGCTCTGTGTACTGCCCGGTCCGCCCGCTCACCTGGTGAACTCGGCGCTCTTTTTGATGACCTCGTTGAGCGTGGCGAGCACGGCGGCCACTGTGTCGTCCGAGGTGGCCTGGTCCTGCTGCGCGCTGCCAGACGGCAGCTTCTGCACCAGGTCGCGCATCGCGTACTTTCCTGTCCGAGGGGAGGGAGGGAGCGGTCAGTGTGTGACGCCACCGTCACTGAAATAAAGAGCAGTCATGGCCACTCCGTGGTGTTCACAGGGACTGAACCGAGACTACCGTAATATAAATCCGCACCCACCCCAGTCCCACGTCTATCCACCCCGCTCCCCAAGTCTCGTGGCCGACCATTTATTTTACATCGTGAGCAATTCCGTCAAAACAAGAGGCTATTACATGCTCGTGTCATCATATAGCAATGGACTGGGGAAACGAGACTACATAACGCACATACTTGACACATGCTAACAGGAACAACACTACATCATCGCAGAATGTAGCATCACATTCCATGGTTGACATGCTGGGGCTCACGCTGGTGTTCTAACAAGAACTTCCTGAGCGTGGGCTTAAAGACAGCCGGAGTTGACTCTCGCAATGTCTGTGGCAGCTCGTTATAGTCAGATACCGCCGAGTAGAGAAAGCGGCGCCTCCCAAACTCCGACCTGATCGTGGGAGTCACCAGCATGTCACTGCTACGGGTGTCTCTCCCGTGTACACTCCGTCTAATGGACAGGTTAGCCGACAGCGCCGTAGGCTCAGACGTGGCTAACATTTTGTGAATCGACACAAGTCGGTGATACATGTACATGCTATCAGCATGAAGCCAGCCACGTTCATTGATGACGTCACTCACGCGATCGAATTTTTTTCGTCCAGAGACGACACGCGCGGCGAACCGAATCACCTTCTGAAGTCGACCGCGTTGAGTCGCATTGCTTGCCCCATAAACAGATAGGCAGTACCGGATGACGGAGAACACCAGGCCTTGTACCATGGTGGCCATCACCGACTGTGGCAGACTGTGTCTGCTGTGGCTCAGTCCACACAAAGTGCCGGTACACCGCCGTATGACGTCGTTTGTGTGCGTGACAAATGTCATGTCCCTTTCAAACCACACACCGAGGTTTTTGACGGCGTCTGAGCAGGTGATGGTTGAGCCGGCGAATTTGATGCTGACTGATGGAATGTGACGGGTCATTTCTCGTGAGCCGAGCACGATGAACTGGGTCTTCGCTGCGTTGATTTTTAGACCATTTTTGCTGTACCAGTTGTGTACTACAGACAGGGCCTCTTCGAGCGACCCGACAAGCTGGGCCAGCTCACTCGGCTGTCCCGTGACAAACAGCTGGACGTCGTCGGCGTAGGCGATCATCTCCGTTGGGCCGCCGTCTACGTGCAGTGGCAGATCGTTGGAGTAGATGTTGTAGAGCAATGGCCCGAGGGCGGATCCTTGATAGGTGCCAATCGGGTTCATGAGAGGACTGGAGAGCGTGCGGTCAATAGATGTCCCTGTTGATTGCACCTGCACGCGCTGGTAATGATCAGCCAGGTAGCTTTGAAACCAGCGCGTGTCGACGCCGTATAGCTCCAGCTTGCGTAAAAGCGAGTGGTGCGGGATGGAGTCAAAACAGCGAGAACAGTCCAGCAGACACAATAGAGTGACTTCACGCCGGTCCATAGAACGAAAAACATGATCGGTGAGGGTGAGCAGCGCGGTGTCCGTTGAATGGTTGCTTCTAAAGCCATGCTGATTCGCGGAAAACAAATGGTGAGAACAAAAATAGGCGTTCAACTGTTCGAACACGACTCGCTCTGTGATCTTCCCTATAGTCGGAAGAATGGATATCGGTCTATAGCGGCTGAAGTCATCAGCTTTGGAAGCCTTTGGAATAGGGTGCACGATAGTGAGTTTCCAAGACTCTGGAACGGCATGTGATGTGATGCTGGAGTTAACAATATGTGTCAACACATGGTACAGTGAGATCAGGCACTTTTTAACAAAACGAATACACAGACCGTCGGCGCCGCATGCCGGAGAATCGTTCATCCTGCTCACGACAGAGTACAGATACTCGGGGGTAATGGGTGCAACCACGAACGAGCCTGTTGACACTCTGGGTAGGCGAACAGGGAGCTCAGGGCCTGACATATCGACAGCCTGTGACGTTTTCAGTCCGATTTCGGCGAAGTACTTATTAAGCGCGTCCACATCTACTTGATCAGCAGTAATGGGTGGTTTACCGGCCTGTTTGGCCGCCACTACCGGCCGCACACTTCTCCACAGGGACGCCGGCCCACGCTCGCGAATGTGCCGCTGCACAGCGTCACGGGAGTCCCCGCGTATCGCAGCTCGCACGCGCCGGTTCAGCTGCCGGTAGAGGTCGCGGTCGCCGCCTCTCAGTGCCGCCCTCCGCTCTACCATCAGCTGTTTGGTGGCCTCAGACAGGGGCGGGGCTGTGGGGTTCCGCACTCTGGTCCGCTTTAGAGGTGCCGCCTCATCCAGAATTGGTCGTGTCACGTTTAAGAAGTACTCCCACTGCGCAGCTGGATCGGCGCTGTGGTAGATAGGGCTCCAGTCAAGCGTCTGTAACCGCCGATTCATCTCCTCTGCGTTACAACCGCGCCAGCTGCGGGCCGTCATTGCGGTCGGTTTGGGACGAAGACCGGCCAGGTTGAAAGTGGCACGCGTCCAGTTGTGGTCACTGTAGTCACAGTGTAATGTTCCATGTCGTTGCAGTTTGCCATTGCTGCAAATAACATCAATGGTGGAGCCCGAAGCGCGGAATGTGGGCCCAGCGATGTGTTGATGTAATGCAAAGGTGTTCATGAGTTGGCAGAACTTGTGTTTGGCGCTGGTGTTGGAACCCATGTCGATGTTCACGTCGCCGGCGATTATCACAAGTCCGCTGTGCTGTGTTGCAACAATCTCCAGTTGCTCTTGAAGGTCGTCAAGATCGGCCGCGATGTCCTCGGCGCTCTGGCGGGGCGGGCGGTAGAACGAGCAGAAGTAGACTCTCTGAGCTCCGGAGCCCACCCGCACCCAGAGCGACTCAAGATTCGATTGGGGGACTGGACGGCCGGAAACCTGCACCTCTGATGCGTGCAGTCCGCTTCGCACCGCCACCGCCACTCCTCCCGCGGCCCTTTTTAAGCGGCCAGGTCGGTCTCGGCGAAACAGTTGATATCCCGGTATAGGAATATATCGGCTGTCCTGGGATGGTCGAAGCCAGGTTTCGTTGATTGATATAATGTCCGGCCCGTGGGTGTCCAGGTCGTGACGTAGCTCCATGAGACTGGGGTTCAGAGACCGGATGTTAAGGTGTGCCACGTAGAGCTGATCAGCGATGGGGTGGGTCCGCCAGATGTGCCCCCCTTTAGATCCGCGTCTGCGGGTCCGCATCCCCCGCCGCTCCGTCCCGCCTCCGCCCCTGCCGTCAGCCGCCGCGCCGACATGGCCCGGGGCTGCGACCCGGGCAGCCGCCCGCCTGTGTCGCGCGTAGGGCGGGGCGGGAGTCGGGACGGCCGCGGCAGTGAGCAGGCTGGTGAGCAGCAGTATCAGCAGAAGGTTGCGAAGCTCTGGGTGCATCGTGGTTTCGGTGGTCGGTATCGGTGAGTAATCAGTATCGTTCGGCGAGTAAAGTTGGAGTTAATTTGTCACAAACCGTGTTGAACTTGTTCAGTCAAGCAAGTTTCACTCAGTTCACTCACGCTCTCATCCTCACTCCGTTCACTTCAATCAATCCACTCATACATCACACATGGTTACCGTTCGCACGTTTTAGGAAGGCTGGGTTCCACGCACACGGTAAGATGGTTAGGCTGAGCCGCTCACGCGCGTCCGGCCGCTGGCGCCGCGCGCAGACAACCATTGGCCAGAGTTCTCATTCCATCCACCTATGAGCTCCCTGTTCCTACCAGTGCCCACATACGAGCTCCCAGTAACCACCTAAGAGCTCTCAGTTGCAAAGTACAGCTCACCGATGAGCTCCCTGTCCCTCTGGTGTCAGCAGTACCGTCTATGAGCTCCAAGTACCTACCAATGAGCTCCCCGTCCCTCTGATATCGGCAGTACCCACCGATGAGCTCCTTGTTGCGCTGGTCGATGGCCAGGTTGCGCAGCGCGGTGGCCACTGCGCACACCACCCGGTCGGCCTCCATGCGCAGTAGCTCCACCAGGATGGGCAGACCCTTCTCCTTGCGCACGGCGGCGCGCATGTCGACGCTGGGCTGCCAGTAGCAGGCGGCCAGGTTCTGGATGGCGCCGGCCGCCGCCTCCAGCGTCTCCGGGTTCGAGCAGTCCGAGAGCAGGCTCAGGTACGGCTGGACGATCTGGGAGGATAGTACAGCACAGTCAGCAGACACAGAGACACAGCACTCCGAGAGCAGGCTCAGGTACGGCTGGACGATCTGGGAGGATAGTACAGCACAGTCAGCAGACATACAGACACGGCAGCCAGTCAGCAGGCTCAGGTACGGCTGGACGATCTTTGAGAGGGCGGGACAGCACAGTCAGCTGACATACAGAGCTAACGAGACAACTGAAGCAATGAAAAAGAGAAGGACCAGAAGAAGATAACGAAATCGCGCGGGTCTGGCTGACGTGGCCGACAGAAAAGATCAAAAGTCAGGTAGACGAGAGACAGGATGTGCAGCACGTAGATATCTCGTATCTCATAGACACCTTTCAGAAGATCTATATTGTGCAATGTGCAGCCCCATCTATCACACGAGACGACATAAGACGCAGCAGCAGCTACAGCGACCCGGATACGATGCACCAACATCACATACCTAACTGGATTTAACCAGCGTCATTAACCTCCCCTGTATCAGCGCCGCCCCCATGTCCCCCCCCTGCCCTGTCCCGGACATCCCTGCCTGGCTGTACTCACATCCGGCTGCCAGAGGAGCTCCATGCCTTTGAGCGGCAGGTGTCGCCGGCTGGCGCCGCCCGGCCCGGCCGGTGTGCCGCCGCCGGGCAGCAGGCCGTCCGCCGCGCCGCCCGCACCGTCCCGGCGCTTCTTTCCGCCGAAACAGCCGGCGTTCTCACCCGCTGTCGGCCAGACGGGGACGCCAGACGGTCAGAAACGAGCCGGGGGTGGAATTATACACAGCTTCCTTAATAGTGGTGTCAATCGGTTACCGAAAATTTCGGTTACCGAAAATATATGCTGACCGATTTGGTAATCGGTCGGTCAGGCCCCCCAAAAATCGGACACTTTCGGTCACCCTGCCAGTGAAACTATTTTCTAAAAGAGACAGTATTCCATTTTTGTCTAGTTAAAATGAAATTTATTGGGATGTTAATGATAAAGTTGCAAAATTTCCCCCAAATGCCAAATGCCACATTTTGGCATCTTCATTAGCCATCCCACCCAGCAGGCAGCAGAGCAGCCGCCCATTGTCCAACCACAACTACAAGCAGCCAAGCAGGCTGATTTTGACTCAGTTGACCCCACAAGTACACACAATTTTGAAACTCTATTCCAGTCTAACTGTTAAAATTTCACCTGTAATCAAAGAAGTATTGCCTACAAAAAATCATTATACAGTCATCAAAAATGCAAGGACAAAAATAACTTGAATTACTGAAATGTGTTTCTGAAGACTGGACAGTTAGCACTTAGCACTTAGCAGTGATCACATTTACATTTCACAGGTGTTCTACTATTCCACATTCTCCTTAAATATTGCAGGTACCAACCAAATGTTTGAAATCTAGATGACCACAACATACAAACATAGGAATCTTGACAAAAACTACATATTCGGCCCATGTCCGATTTCTGGAATCTTCCAAATTCCAAACACAAGGAAGGATTTCGAAACAGATGCGCCATAACAGAGACTTTAAACCAGCTGATTAAGTTGCTGCAAAAAAAAGTTTTGGATCGTTACATGCTGCCTCGTGAATTATTTTATTGATGTAAATGATCCAACACGATATTGAATTCTAATGAAATCAACATTGTGAGTGTAATTCACTACAAGAAAATTAATTTCCCCTCAATAATTCGACCAAAAGGGCATATAAATAAATATTACGTCATCATCATGCATCCTTTCGTTAGGGAAGAGAGGATCTTAAAAGTCAATCCTTGGTTCTTCTATTACTTTTGGCGCCACTTTGGCGCCACTGTATTAATTTTGTCTGCATATTTTGTTTTCTTGTAAAGATAAGATTAACAAGAGATAAGACAAAGTGCCTGTTTAATGAATTTTCATTTCATTTTTGGGACAAAATTCAAGCTCAGAGCTACCTAATACCTGCCTTTTCAGCTGGATTTTCAGTGTCAAATTCTTTGTAGAGTATCTCAGACCACATATCAAGACTCAAGGCAAGTTTCCAAGCAGTTTTGATGTGTTTTGTGGTGTTTTGATTCCGCCTTTTCTCCTAGGGAATGTTGTCATGAACATACATATTACCAACCATTTGACTTATTAATTGATCGTGCTTTTGCAACATGAATGAGCATTCTTCCTTACATAGACCACAGTAGATTCTTGACAATTCTAATTAACCAAATCTGTGAAATGCTGAGGTCCATGTGTTGCTACCCTCAGCAATGTATTGTAACTTCTACCACAAAATGTATTTTGCAGTGGCTAAGAATTGACTGAACTTGGACTGAAATGCCATTTCGCATTATTTTCCATCAGAATTTACCAAATATTTTAATTTTGGGGTAGAGTAATAGCAAATAGAATTTCGGTCAAATTTCGGTCAAATTTTGGCTTGGGATGTTATCGGTCGGTATTCGGTCGGAAATTTTTCCCAAATTTTGGTTTCGGTCGGTATCGGTCAGACATTTTTTGGAAAATGACATCACTATTCCTTAACCACACGGCAAACAGACTGGCTACGTCTAGCACAGAAAGTGAGCGGCACCATGTGATTCACGTGAATAAAGAAACGGGCAAACAGTTAGCTCAAAATATACCATCACCAAACTCCCCCCCCCCCCCATGACCCCACCGACCACCAGTAACCGCTGCTGTCTCCGTGTTCCTCCCGTGTTGGTCAGTTCGTGCCCACGACTCGCTCCATCGCTGTCCAATTACGGCGTCGGCCCGGTCGGCGGCCGACAATGTTAGTGTCAGCGCGGCATTAGGGGCCGTCACCGGGAGCTATACTGGGCGGCCGGACCGGTGAGACGCGAGCCGGCGCTATACCGGGGGAGACGAGAGGGAGCCTGCCGGCCAGGGAGGCTACCACAGCCAGGGTCTGAGAGTGTCGGGCATCTGTCCCCGAGCTGCGCACACCGCACCGGTGTGGAAACTGAACTGCACCGCACCGAAGTTCAAAACTTGTCTTGCATCGTCTGTCTGAAGTGATACATCAGATTTCAACATACGTCATCAGGCGACAAAGAGCGTTCAATTTGACGTTGGTGCGTTCAAAACTTCTCCATCCTTTCTCATTACATCGTCTCTTGTCAAACATCTTGTGGGAAATAAGCAAACAGAGCAGTATGTCGTCGCTCATCACGCAATATCACCGTTCACTGCGGCCACGAGTCGGCACAGAGCACTGTGCCGCCGGCGGTCGGCCCGCCCGGCGCGGCGGCAGCAGTGGCTGGGAGGGAGACGGTACGGCAGCCGCCCGGCGCGGCGGCAGCAGTGGCCGTGGGAGGGAGACTGCGGCGGACGCCTCGCTACCGCTGCAGGAGTGGGTGCGTGGGTTGGTGGGCGAGGGCGACGCCTCGCTCCCGCTGCAGGAGTGGGTACGTGGGTGGGTCGGGGGACCGTATGGCAGCCGCCTGTCCCCCGCACGTCGCTACTTGGCATGCATTGTGGTGCTCACTCGACGTCAGAGCAGACGGAGCTCCCGCACATGACAGGGAAGGGGACGCCGGTAGCAGCCCTCCCCGCCGCCGGGAAGGCCGGACAACAGGCCGCCATCAGTGGGATCAGCCGCCCGGCGGTCGACGGCCCGGTGACTGACCCCGGCCCGTCTCTCCGCGGGGCCGCCGCCCGCGTCCGACTGCAGCCGGCAGTATGCGCTCACCCAGTCCCCGCTACTGAGGCGCCCCGCCCCCGGAGTGGGAGGCCGCCCCGACCCAGCGGCGATGCACGAGCAAACCGGCACGGCACCATTGCCAACCTGTACCGTACTGAGCTACATCACCATACATTACTCATTCCATTACTGTCAACAAGGGCTCAACACCTGGACATGCGAGTACATCGATTACTGCTTAAATCGACCCATTCAGTCCCGGTCGACTGGCCAAATAACCAAGGTTATTTGATGTAACTCACCGCCAGCCGGGACATCTGAAAAATAAATCAGCGCAGCCGACACAGCGGACCGAAAATAGCCACTCTCGCCCGCCGCTCCCCCTCCCCGTCGGTCACTCACGGTCTCTGGCGCCGGTGTTCCTCCCCTCCCTCTCCCTCTCACTGGTCGCCGGCCCTCCCCTCCAGCTCTCCCCCCTCCGCCACTCACGGTCTCTGGCGCCGGCGGCGGCGGTGGGCCGGCCGGCCGGCGGCGCCGCCTGCTTGTCGTAGTTGGGGTCCTCCACCTCCTGGCAGCGGTAGCTCAGGTTGCGCAGGATGCACACGCAGTTCTCCACGCACTTGTTGTCAATGTTGGACTTGCCGATGGCCGAGCGTATGACCATGAGCAGCGCGTCCACCAGGCCCTCGCACTCGCGCAGCTTTTTCCGCGCGTACTCGCCGGCAGAGCTCACGTTCCTGGCGCCGGCACAGACCAGACATGCGAGGTTAGAGAGTGGATCACATACATACGATACAGCGGACTTATATACTACTATACAGAGACGGTTGTTATCATAAGTACAGCATACAACCGGGCCCTACAAATGATCCCACCAGCCGGTCCATACCTAAGTCGTACACTCGGGGGCAGATTGATGTTCCACCACTCCCCACCCATCGGGCTCCCATGGCTCAGCACTGGCTGCTGCCAGTGTTGCCTGCCCTCAGCACTGATCAGCACTGCCTGCCAGTGCCAGTGCTGCCAGTGCTGCCACTGGCAGCAGCCAGTGCTGAGCCATGGGAGCCCGATAGGTAGGGAGTGGTGGAACATCACTCTGCCCCCGAGTGTACCAGAGCCCGCCACTGAGCCCGTCCCGTACCCTCGCCCGTCCCTGAACCGCCGGCCCGGCACTGCCAGTCCAGTCCAGTGAGCCAGTCCCTGACCCATCGGTCCGTACCTGACTACCGTACCGTACCTGACAGTCCGTGCCGCCGGCCAGCCCCTGAGCCGTACCTGAACCTCTGACCCACCCTGAGCTGAGCTCGCCCCCCCCCCCCCGCGCCGGTCGGTACCTGAGCACGCCGGCCCGCCACTGAGCCCGTCCCCCCTCCCCCTGCACCGGTGACCGGTCCGCACCTGAGCACGCCGGTGGCGTTTCGGAAGACGGTCGACCAGAAGACGTCCATGACGGGCTCGCTGTGCGCGCTGCCGCGGTTCCAGCCCGAGTGCGGGATGATCACGTAGTTGACCAGCACCGTCAGGCCGTCGTCGATGATGGTCCGCTTCAGGTCCTGTCGGAGAGCGCAGCCAGGGTCAGGGCGGCGCGCCAGGCAGCGCAGCCAGGGTCGGGTCAGACCGGGTCGGGTCAGCTCGGGCCAGATGGGGCCAAGGTGACCCGGGTCAGTGGCGCGTGCCAGGTAGTGAATGCCGAGCTCGTGCCGAATACCGCCGCAGCCGCAGCGTGTCCCGTGCACACCGCCAGAGCTCACGTGAGGCATTCCGCTCCATTAGGAACGGGTGCATGTCTAGTACGTGGTGCAGTCAAACAGCGCTCAACTTGACACACCAGAGCGGGCTCAGTGCCGTTTATACAGGAGGGCCCGACAGGCCCGCGGCCGGAGTGGTCGTTCACTGGCCCTCACAGACGGTACAGAGGGGCTGTTGGTGACTGGAAACACCCCCAGCCCACACTAACACCGGAATGTGTACAAACCAGTGCGCTGCGCTCCCGACCCACACCCCAGTCCCCTTATAGCACACTGATACCACTTCACCACCCGGACACTATCAACCGTCCGAACTGTACGGGTGCCTGAAGTGGCGCCCGACATAGACGACACGAAATTCGCCCTGGCCATCAACACAGGTCGGTTGGTCACGGCGGGAAGCGCCACTAATACCACCTACCGCGACCACCTGATCGGTAAGTCACGGCGGAAAAGCCACTGCGTCACAGTCACTAGGTGTCCTGTGACTCAAGATAGATGGCCCAGCTAACGAAGGCAATGAGCATGTTGTGAAGATCGCCACAGATGTGAACGGAATCTTGCCTTTTTCAAGAAGGTAACTTATATTATCTGGCCAATGGAATGTCAAGTCAAATTTATCAAACTTAAGACCAATTTAACATTTAGGAGCGTATGGAGTAGGCCGCTGTGCTGCCACGGTAAACGGTCCCCATTTCTCTGCCGTCTTCACACCGCTTCACAGGACGTCGAGATCCCGACGTCCTGCGCGACACGCCTCGCTAAAGTCGGCCACTGAGCTCAGACACTCACACATTCAAGTACTTCGGACCAATAAAGAAAACATATGACCGAGCTCAAAGGGACTGGTCTGCGCTCCAAATACATAACCAGCTGTTGTGAGCGCCCAGCATCCATCTCATCGAAATGTCACAGCATCCCACCTCTCCGTGACCGTCACCCGGCCGGTATTACTGGAGTAGGATACACCTATCCTGTGGGACGCTCGGAATGATACGGGACTCAGCGGGGCGGTGTGAGCGCACACTCCTGCACCCCCGCACCCGCCGCAGCTGTGTGGACGCGGAGCAAAGGACCTAACTACTCCTCCAACTGTACCCGATAATACAGCCACCAGCTGGTCGTTCAGAGTTCCGTGAGCGGACCCCAGTGAGCAGCCACACCGTCATCTGAAGCTGGAAACGGCACACCCGCCGGTAACCCGGGACAGGCGGCGGGCGCAACTGTGGTCCGCTGAGCGAGCTGCGAGCCGGGCCGGCCGGTCGGCGGCCGAGCGGTGCCCGCGCCGTGACCGGCCGCCGCGCACGGTCCGGCCGCCGGACCGTGCGCGGCGCCGCAGCTGCCGCCTCCCACGACCGGCTCTAATCGCCGTTCGGCAATTTAAAGATGAGCGCGTCGCTCCATCCGGAGCAGGGCGGCCGGTAATTTATGGATGAGTGCTAAGCGGCCATTTTGTGCCGGGCCGGCCGGCCGGCCGGGACGGGCCGCCGCCCATAACCGGCCGAGTGGCGTTATACATTCTGTCGGCGCCGCCCGGGGGAAAAGTCGGCCGGCTTGCTATTCCTGCAGCGGTCATACGGCCGCCGCTATCCGGCCATACGGGACGTCAGACCAGCTGTACTCGCGCTGGCCGGGGAATAGGCAGGCCCCAAACGGTCCTTCATGACAACTAAACATGACCAGCATTGGAATCAAGGGCAGGGGGTATTGTGAGCTCCGCACTCCTCTCCGGTACAGATCGGTCCATGTACCAGGAATTTATTTTTACGCTAGCTAGAATGAAATATTCATCTTTATTTCTAAATGGCCACATTTGAGCTCTGATAAAAGACCTGGCAAGCGTATCCCATATGAACCCGGACCCCGGTGGCACGGATGCCGGAGACTATCCGAGCTGTTCCCCGTAGCGTCCCGAAGACTCGGTTAATTAGCGCGCCAGCAGCGGCCCCGGGTGAAGCCCCGTGAGCGGCGCGGCGCCGGCGGCTGCCCTACACTCCGATAGACCAGACACCCGGTTTGGACGCGCGGGAATCAAATAACACCAGGCCAAGAGGCTTGACTGGTACACAAAAGTTGTTACTTCACGGATTGAATAATTTAGCGTTTACTTTTAGATCCCGCCCAAAATAGGTCTCAAATGAGTAAACCTAAGCCAAGCCTTCCAGCGCGCCCCTGTCCCGCGTCTGAACAGGATCCTCAGGACGCTCACCTCGCAGCTGGAGAGGTTCCCTAGGATAGTTACCCCGCGTCTGGATAGGATCCTCAGGACGCTCACCTCGCAGCTGGAGAGGTTCCAGAGGATGCCCGTGACCAGCTCCTTGATCTCGTTCTCTGGCGTTTTCCGCAGCAGCCGGATCAGTGCCGGTACACCGCCCGCGTTCTTGATGGCCCGCTTGTTCTCGTCGTTTTGCCGGCCGTACGACAGATTCCTGACAGGGAGACGGGCACAGGTGGAAATATTATACACAGAGAGGCACACAATAGATTCCTAACAGAGCGACAGACACAGGTGGGATTATTTACAGAGCAGCACACGACAGATTCCTGACAGGGCGACAGACACAGGTAAGATTATTGGGCACGGCAAAGCAGCGCAAACACAAGTCCCGCCTCTATTTCGTCTTCGACTGACTCTGGCAATAACAAACTGCATCAAGCAACATCCACCAGGGGTATTCGATAGCAGTCAGCAATACCCACCTAGGCATCCTCCACACTTTGCCCAATAACTCTCCTGCTACACTCTCCTCCCCACCTCCTTTGCTTCAACCCACCCCAGCTCCACAGGTGATCCCTGTGTCTGTATTCCTCCCTCCACCCCACTGACCTGAGCGCCCCGCAGGGATGTCCCCCCCCCCCCCCCCACACTGACCTGAGCGCCCCGCAGGGATATTCTCTCCCCCCACTGACCTGAGCGCCCCGCAGGGATGTCCCCCCCCCCCCCCCCACTGACCTGAGCGTCCCGCAGGGATGCCCTCCCCACTGACCTGAGCGCGCCGCAGGCGTTGCGGTGCACCTCGGGGATGTCCTGAGAGAGGAACCCTCCCTCACTGACCTGAGCGCCCCGCAGGCGTTGCGGTGCACCTCGGGGATGTCCTGCGAGAGCAGCACCACCAGCGGCGGGATGCCGCCCAGCGCGCGCGTCTTCTGCTTCATCGGGTCGTCCATGTAGCAGAGGTGCTGCAGGTAGGCGGCCGCGTTGGCCTTCACCACGTTGTTGGGGTTGCTGAGGAAGTTGATGACCTCGTGCAGGTCCGGGTCGCGGAACCGAACTGGGGGTGCCGCGGGGGGGGGGGGGTCAGCGCCGGCCGAGCCGCGGCCCGAGTGGTGTGTTCCAGTCCGGCGTTCGGCACAGAGTGGCAGAGAGCCCCGCGTACACACCGTGCTCCAACACAATCAACGTCTACTGGGTGAACCTACTCGTGGATACAGAGTTTTCCCTGCCCAAAACTGCGTGCTACCCAACAGGGCAACCCTTTGACTGCAACCTTCTACAACGGCAACATTTACAGGCACGCAATCAACATTGGCGATGCCACGTATCAAATGTCTGTGACATGAACCGGACCTTCACCGGGCTAGCCATACAGACCACACATGGGTCGCTGATCTAACAGTGGCATACACTGACTGTACGATAACCAATCTACCCAAAACGGCCGGCAGGGTCTGCCGACCAGCAGCGCCCTGGGTTACGCCCGTCACTCCACACAGGGCGGGCGGGTCACGGTCAGACAGGTCACCAGGGAGGCTCGCGGCAGGGCGGCACGGTGCTCGCATTCAGCAGCATGCGCAAGTGAGTCGCTTGGCGTCAGTAGCCAATTTGTCAGCGTGCTTCCCGCTTACCTTTCTCTCGAAAACGTCGCTGGAAACGCGTTACTGATAAACCCGAGACGACTCGCTCTCATCTCTTCGAGTGCCTTCCACCTCCTCCCTTGTCATATGCAAACTTCTGTCGCAATTACAGACTACATTCCCGCCCACCCAGCTCGCCGGCCGACTCACCATTCTGCTGGCTGAGCGCCGAGCCCGGCCGGGCGTGCTGCTCGCCCTCGCGCACCACATCCCGGATCACCTCGTCAAAGACGGCGCGCGGCGCGGCGCTGCGGCCCGACTGACGCGACTGTCGCGACAGCGGCCGGCCCGGCTCCGAGTCGACGCTCTGCGACAGCTCTGCAGGCGGCCCGTCAGCCGGTCAGCCCGTCAGCCGGGTCCGACCGGAGGCCAGGCGGCGGCGGCGGCGGCGGACCACGGCCGCGGGCGGGCACTCACAGACCGACGGAGATCGGGCGCAGCGCGGGCGGCCAGCAGGCAGGCCAACAGCAGGAAGGGTTTTGGAAACACCTTCTGCGTGCAAACTCAAAAGTGCGCTGTGATTATTGAAAGCGGCTCCTTAATCGAATCGGTTTGATGCTGTCGGAGTCTGTGCGCAGCTGCGGCGCCCGGGGGCGGTCAGCCGCTGTGTGGGCCCGCCCGCGTGCCGTGCCGTGCTCCACCGCCGCCAGTGACCGCAGTACCAGCCATGCCGCCGGGAAGGGAGGGGTACGACAAACCAGGCAGACAACAACGAAACCGCTACAACAGTCAACTCAATGAAAACAGGCAAAACATAACATACGTGGTTACGACGACCAAATAAAACACTAATACGCAAACAATATCTGCCATATCTAAGAAACAATATCTGCCAACAGCCAACAGCCAACAGCAAACATCAAACTACACATAAAAAAGGAAAACGCCTTTAAATATGCTGATTGCTGACTATGTAAACGAAAATACAAAAAGATATGTTTGCTTTAGCGAGCAGTGCGGCAGCCAGCACGGCGGAGGGCAGGGAACGATCCCATGACGCCACTATGACGTCACTCTGGGCGCGCGCCGACGTACCGTGGCCGGGCGGCAGCAGCGGCGGTCCGTACGGGTCCTGGCCGCGGGACGCCATCAGGGTAGAGTCCAGCTCGTCGTAGCCCGACTGCGGGTAGTGGCCGGCCGGGTATCCTGTGTGAGGAGTGGGGGCAGCCGTCAGATACTGTATAGGCGGCTGACGGAGCAGAGGCCGGCACGGGGCAGAGGCCGGCCAGGTACCCTAAGGGGAGAGCGGAGCCGTCAGACACCTCTGAGACGGTCAGACATTCGTGACTTCACAGACAGAGAACAGCAGCAAATATCACGTATGTACCCAGAACATCCACAACCGCCGGACAATGGGCATGAAACATTGCTGTAAACGCTCTCATATTCGGAACCAGGGGCAGCAGATAAGACGAAACACCGGGATTGCAATTGACACCCTTTTCCCCAGCCCCTCCACATCGCCACCGCGCCCTATGGATGGTGGCTAGCCCCACTGGTAGCCTGGTCCCCGCGTCTGGTCCCCACCCAATGGATGGCCGGAGCTCCACAAATGACAGGCGCGTATGCATTAGATTACATCCGCCGACTCTGCCAGGTTACAAACCAAACCGAATTCAGCTGGACTGATCCAGCACAGTCAGCGGCGAAAATTGCGCTACATACACAGAAACCTGTGACATTTAAACTGACAGCCTCATCTGAGGTTACAAATGTCAAAAGGTCTGAGCCTAACCCAGACGCCAGCGGGAATGTTTCGGCGGATGGAAAAATCACAGCCAATCTCCCGCGGCGGCGGCGTGGTGACATGATTGATTCAGAGTCCGATGGGCTGCCGTCCTCCGTCGGCCGCTGCCCCCTGATCCAAGCCCCCCCCCCCCTCAGCTAACGACGCCACAGGTTCCGGGCCAGGCGCCGGTCAATTTCCGCGCGCACACACACATACAGGCACGGCAGCGCTGCAGCGACGGCATACAGACGGATGCCGGCCGACGGCAGTCCGACGGCAGATCGACAGCTCCCCTCCCAATCACTGTTCGGACACTGCTCTGACACGGTCACTGTTCTGACATGGTCACTGGGGTCACAGATGTCACTGCTCTGACACGGTCACTGCTGTGACACTATCACTGCTGTCACAGATGTCACCGCTCTGACACGGTCACTGTTGTCACTTGTCGCGCTCCGGCAGCATCGACACGCACCACGGGTTTATCGGCCGAACAACACTGCCATTCGAAAACAAACAACAGCTGATCAACTGACACCCGAAACTGAACAGCTGACCAACAGCTGATCAACTGCCCCCCCCCCCCCTCCCTCCATCAACAGCTGACCAATAGCCTGATCAACCGCCCCCAAACAACAGCTATCAACTGTCTCCAAAACAACAGCTGATCAACAGCCGATCAACCGCCTTCCAAACAACAGCTGATCAACAGCTGATTAACTGTCGCCCGAACCCAACAACGGCAGATCAGCTGCCTTTGCCTCCAAAACAGCTGATCAACTGCCACCCGAAAATGAACAGCTGATCAACAGCTGATCAACCGTCGCCCGAAACCAAGCATCAGCTGATCAGCTGCCCGTGCCTTCTATACAGCTGACCAACGACCGATTTAATCATTAAATCCCTTCCGAAACCAAACAACGCCTGATAAAGTGTCTCCCTAAACCGAACAATTGACCACGTGATGTGATCAGCAGCAGATCGAAGCGAGATATGACTCCACACAGCTTTCTCACCCAGCTGCATCGGGGCTTGTCCGCTTCCAGTCCAAACACCAAATAAATTCATAGAACCAAAAAATACGAAGAAGAGGATACATTCACTGCCGTGCTGGTCACCAAGCCACATATTTGAAACGTCAATCGACAACAACTACATAAGCAACAAGAATACAACTCACAAGCAACAAACTACCCTGCCGATAGCCACCTTAGCGGCGCCGTCAGCTCCAACGAGCCCTCCGGCCTCCGGAGCCCCCGCCTCCGCCTCGCTGAAGAGAGCCCTCCGGAGCAACTGCCCCCCCCCGCCCCCCCCCCCTCCCCTCGCAATCAGCCCGCCCCCGACGGACGGCCCGCAGTGACGTCACTCTGACGTCAGGCTCGGCACGGTCGGGCAGACGGCTCCCGGCTGGCTCGCACCGAGTCTCTGGCTCTGTAACGTTCACAGGACCGCTGCGGGCATGGTACCGTGTACCACCAGCTGAGAAACTGGGAGGGTGCAGCTCGGACAGACCATAGACGACTGGGACAGCGCGGAACCGTACTGTTATCAGGTGGTTCTGGGGCATAGCTCATGATCTTGTCCAAGAGTGAGTTAGCTTAGTCGTCGAGTCCGAAACGTGTTCAGATATGGATCAGGAAAGGATGGGTCAAGGCGAGAATGTGTGAGTGAGTGAGTGAGTGAGTGAGTGAGTGAGTGAGTGAGTGAGTGAGTGAGTGAGTGAGTGAGTGAGTGAGTGAGTGAGTGAGAGAGAGAGAGAGAGAGAGAGAGAGAGAGAGAGAGAGAGAGAGAGAGAGAGAGAGAGAGAGAGAGAGAGAGAGAGGGAGGGAGGGCAGCGACACCACCTTGAGTATCCCGCCGCTCCCTGAAGCGGGCTATGAAAGTTTCAGGCGTTCGTCGGCAGAGCGCCCCACTTCAGGGAGTGTGACAGGCCGGGACGGACGGTCGGGCCGGCCGGCCGGGCGGCGGAATACCAAGGCGGACAGAGCTGCTCGCCGCGGAGCGCAGACATAGGGCCGGTGACCGGCTCGGACGGAACTAAGGGAGGCTACACGTGCGGTGCGGTACGACATGGAGCGGCCTGCGCCGCCGCGTCTGGTCACTCACTGCCGTCCTCCCCACGGATCCCACAGTAGTGGCCCGCCCCCCGCCATTTCACGGGAGAGTGCCGCAGATAGATATCCGGCAGTGTGGACCAGCCCGGCCCGCAGGCCGAGCATACAGCCCAGTGTTGTCCAGAGGAGTCAATCCGGAGCGCATCAAACTGCCACAAACAAAGGCCAGACACGGCCTCCCCCGGCGGCGGCGCGCACTTAAAAGTTGAGAGCAGCGCCGGCGGATCGATGCCCGCAGCAGGAGAGCAGCTCAGTCTGAATCTGAATCTGACCGTCTGACGTCCGGCCGGGTCACCCGTCCGCGGATCGTCAGAGCTCCACACACAGCCCCGTGTGACCGGAATTATCAGCAGCTCCTTCGATACCAGAACTACACCTGGCTCCGCCACCCGCTCTCCCTCTGTGCCCCAGCTCCGACCCCGTGCGCGGCGCTCGGGTCCGCACAGGGGCCCTCGGACCCCTCCGACCGGTCCTCTCACCGCCGGCGCTCTGTGTCGCCCTGTCGTCATTCATTGTTGAGCAGCGGCCGCCGCCGGCCGGTCCGGCAGCAGGCGCAGAGCCGGGTCACAGCCGCCGGCCGCTCTCGGCAGAGCGGTCGGGGAGAGAGCCGAGAGAGCGCCGGCCGGCCGGCGATCAATGCTGCGCGGCCGGCGGCCGACGCCGGGCAGCAGCCAGACGACGCAGCCGACCCCGGAAAAAAATCACCAGAAACTGGCGACACCGGCCCGAGGACCAGCAATAGATCTCAGCAACTAGCGACATAAACACTGCCGCGATGAAATAATCGCCAGAAACGAGCGGCGGCAGACAGGTTCGTGGGAAAAGCAGCCACGAGTCAGCGTCACCGGGCCACGCAGGGCTGCCGGGAGCCGGCGTCACCGGACCAGTCGATGGTGGAACTGCCTGGAGCCATCGTCGCCGCTTCTGTCGGGATCCGGGCGAGCCTGATATGCAATGATAATTTTTTTTTTCTAAGATAGTCCGTTACCCATGATCAGGTAACCAGGAGTGCCCCCTCCCACAGTCCCGGCGACGCACAGAGACCTTACTTTAACACCAGGTAACATAATAAATTGATCAAGTCGCGGCACTCCCTGCTAAGAAGTGGAAAATATAAATAAAATATAACGCATGCAATACTACTAAAAAATGTTAGTAAGTACGCCAAAAAGGAGGAAAGTAGTCATTGCCAAGTGAAGCAAAATGACTGCCCACTATACCAACACAAGCAACTATCATTTATACCAGTGTTAGTAATTAACGCAATACGCATTCATACTCAATGTGGGGAATAGCATGCCTGGTCATGTTCTTGCAAGGTTATTTTTATTGCCGAAACCCTTGGCTCCGTCCGACTAAGCTAGGCTTGTTGCCAGACAGAACCTCAGGAAACAGCACGGACTAGAGTATTTTAAGAATTAGTACAATAAGTTGTATAGATGTCAATGTAGGTAATGCATGTAACCTACATTCAATTTGCATATTTACCATAAGGTAAATATGCAAATTGAAATAGACAATGATTGAGAAGGGTGGCACACAAGGATTTATTGTAGTTGGTATTTAAAATAGGTATATACGAATCGTTAAGTTGTGTACATGCATGACATGCACATACGTACATACATGCATATGCATATGTATCATGTACGCGAAACATACACATATACATACACACACCACACATAAATGGTAATGATAACTGGGCACGAACTCGGGAACCAATGTGCAACGCGTACTGCATGTTTGTATAGCACCTAAAGACAGGCGCAAACTAGATCAGGTAACGGCTTTGGCGATGGCCTCTAAAGCTTCTTTAAACGCCACAACCCTTGTCAGTGCCATGGAAGGTGAGATATGAATACCACCATACAAATGAATGACTGACGATCATTATCAAATTAAGTCAATCTACGAAAACGGTCGTCAACGTCACCACGGCCGTGACAGCGCGGCTGAGTAGACAGAATGTCCGACCTCAGCCCGCCCGGCGGGCCCCGGGTGAGCTGCCGCGCGGCAGTGGCATCCGCAGCCGCCCACAGGTCCGCGACCCCGTCAGCCTTTTTGAGCCCGCACGGCGCCCTGTACCTCATCATTCGGCCAACATCTCCTTTTCATCATGTTCTGTCGTCCAATGGAGAAAATTAGTTGCCGCCCCGCCTCTCACTAAACGATGATAAACGACCCTGCTGGGCGGAGAATTTTTCACCGGCCCGCAGCTGCTCGGCCAGCCAAAACCGGCGCCCCACGGACACTGATCAACAACAGCACTCAGCGCTATTACAGCGGCCACCCTTCGCCCGGCGTCTGCCCAGATGAGTCTCCACTGACACCAGCCCTAGGTGGCCAAACGGCGGACCACGGGAGTCGCTCCTCTGGTGACAGCGACGACTCGCCCGGCGTCCGGCTAATCTGTGCGGTACGACAACCGACGGCGACACTGGCAACTGAGCGGAAAACCGCCATCACCAGCATACTGCAGACTATCACAGGATGGTGCAATGATTCCACCTCCTCTCTTCCCGAACGTGAAACCCTACGGCCTCCACCCAGCTTGAGAGAGACATCTGTCATCTACCTAGCCCAGCCTAGGTCACATCCCAAAAAACTGGTCAGGACACCGCACAAGACACCTAATTCCTGAGGCACACCCACGACACGACCAACGTTCAGAAGTAGTTATTGGCCGGGCCGAGTCTGCCAGTCAGGTTGCGAGCCCGCCCCTCCATCTGACCCCCCTCCCCCAGCCTATCGCGCCGCCGGCGCTGCGGCTCACCGCTCTGCGCGCCCTTGTCAGGCGGCGGGCTGTCGCTGCGGTCGGACGGGGACGGCGGCGTCGGCGGCCGGTCCGGGTAGCCGCCGGCGCGCGAGCCCTCGCCCGGGCCGTAGCCGGGGCCGTAGTCGGAGCCGGCGCGGCCGTAGCCGGCGCCGCCGTATTCGGGCGGCGGCGGGTACGGCTCGTAGTCCCGGTAGCCGCCGTGCGCCGAGTACGGGTCGTAGTTCCGCCGCGAGCCTGCCGGCGGGTCAGAGGGGTCAGAGGGGTCAGGTGGGGTGGGGTTCCGCGACACTGGCGGCAGCTGGGGCGTATTGGACACACGTTAGGCAGCACCGCGCCGGGAGAGAGCTTACACAGTGACAAACAGGCCAGCTGACCCCGTAAAGCCTACCGAGTCTGATCGGATAACTCTACATACAGTCTATTCTATGGATAAAACACAAGCTAAGGAAAAATGAATGGGAGCAACTGCTTGCAAATATCATTTAAATACGGCACTATATGCACCGCTCACTTTAAGAGTTAGCGTTGGAGCTATCCAATTAAAATAAACGGTGTGGTGTTGCATGTGGTTACACATATGCGTCTAACATTATGATGTGGCCGATCACGGTGCAGCTCAGTACCAGCTGAGTCGCGGTCCGACCGACCGGTGGAGTGTCGGGATGTCTGGCGCCCCACCACACCGGACCCGACCGGGACGGTTCACTGATGGACCGCCGGCTACGGACGAACGCCATAGGTCAGCCGGCACACAGCCTATCAGCGCCGCACCTAGCCAGGGGGACCGGCACGGCGCCGCACCTAGCCAGGGGGACCGGCACGGCGCCGCACCTAGCCAGGGGACCGGCACGGCGCCGCACCTAGCCAGGGGACCGGCACGGAGCCGCACCTAGCCAGGGGACCGGCACGGCGCCGCACCTAGCCAGGGGGACCGCCACGGAGCCGCTGCCGGCCGCCGTCACCGCGCGTCGGTGTACCTCAGGCCGCGGTCCCCGATCAGAACATCCCCCGCCGTCGCCCCGGCCCGTCGGCACCTGAGCAGAGCATCCCCTCCCGTCGCCCCGGCCGTCGGCACCTGAGCCGGCCGTGCGCCGCGCCGCTGCAGCCCGCGGCGGTTCGGTGAGTTACGGCGTCTGCCCGCCGCGCTGAGGAAAGGCGCCCGGCGGGGAGAGATGGGCCGCCTGGCGCCCGGCCCAGCTGCGCGGGCGGCAGCTAACAGAGGTCAATGCCAGCGCGTGCTCGTCCCTGTCCTGCTGTCGAGCGAACGTTATGTCTATCTCTGTCTCCGTACGTGAAATATTCAACGTCATTGCAGCCACACTTAGTTAGGCAATAGGCATCACTCACAATAAAGCGTTTCGAAAACTAACAAAACGTTCCCCGGATTGTCTTGCAGCCACTGCCACCCTGTCGCAGCCGTCGCCGCCATCCTACTCTTCCTCTACAGCTGTCCAGAGCGGGCAGCAGAGCGCCGGGTCAGCCGGGTCGGACCGAGTTGGACGGCGGGTCAGCCGCGCCGGGCCGGGACGGGCGCACATTGATCTGAGCGGGGTGCGTGCCGCCGCCACCCGCCTCATATCGCCGCCGCCGCCGACACCGGGATTACCGGTCCGGGCGGCCGCTGACGGGAGGAACCGCCGCCGCCGCGCCGTCTGCCAGCCTGCCCCGGCAGTGCTCCCTGCCGCCGTCACCCCCACAGCGGACGGCAGGACCGGCTCGGAGACACTGCCCGTGGGATAACGGAGGAGCGCGGCGGCCGACCCGACTACACCCCACACTCGGTCAGTTCGTCCTGGTCTGTGATCGGTCACGACACTGGTCTGGCCCCGGACGGTGGCCTCAGAGCCAGCCGCGTCAACCACTGGACAGTTGCTCGGCTCTGGAGAGGAGGGGGCCGCTCTATACGGGGGTGAATCCCGGTACCGAGCAGCCATCGGAGGCGGCTGATGAAGCCATCGGCCGGCCGCGGCAGTCAGCGGGCGTAGCCCATCTCCGCCGAGACGGCCCACACCGCGCCATATCAGCGACCACATCAGCGACCAATCCGTCACATCAGCCACATCAGCGGTGACATCAGCCACATCAACGGCCCCATCAACGGAAAAGCAGTCACGTCAGTCACATCAGCAGCTTCCGGACGCCACCAGTGGCCGTCAGTGGCTGATAGTGGCGGCATCAGTGGCCGTCAGTGGTCATCAGGAGGCTGCCGACCACCGTCAGTGTTCGCCATCAGCTGAGACATCGGCCGCTCAGACAGACACGGGTTGTAGTAGCGCCGCTGCCGGCGACACAGCGCCACTACGAGTCGCAGTGGCGCGGCCGCTGCCGCGACACAGCGTCACTTTCAGTTACTGACCGAACGGCTGGTCAGCGGATGAAACTCCAGCAGACGCACAGGTCCGTCTCAGAGATACCACGCCGGGGACGCGGCCGTCCACAGAGTGGAGCGGGCGTGATTGGCGCCGGTGTGTCACTCCGCGAGTGAACGATCATCCCAATTCCACGGTATAACATTACTTTCCCCATGACACCTGCAATGCCAGGTTACCAGTGACCACTGACCAGTCACTCGGTATATCGTCACCTCGGACCCCGCACACCATTTGACTGTGTAGTGTGGACATTTAGCCGCCCACTGGCAGCCCCGTCACCGGCCGGTGGGGTGCGTGAGTCGGCGCGGTCACCCCTTCCCGGCCGCCCCCGCCCCCGCCCGGCAGCCGCAGCTGGCCGGCCGGCCGCCCGCCGGCAGCGCCATTGATTAATTGATTGATGGCCGGCGAATCGGACGCGTCGCTGACTCGGTTAGCATCGTCCGTCACAGCCGGCCCGAGCCGCCGCCGCCGCCGCCGCCGGGGGGGGGGGGGGGGGGGGGGCAGACGCCAGTCAGGTGCGGGTGGGTGGCTGAGGTAGGTGGTGCCGCCTGTGGCGCCCGACGGTGGGTGGTTCCGCGTCGCCAGAGGTTGGAGCTGGATCGCTGACTACCCGAGCGACGGCAGCAGGGTCGCGTGCCATCCGCGGTTAGCTGGACCGAGCAGTGAGCCGAACCCATCGCCTGATTCCTAGGAGCTGAGATAGGCCACTCAAAGCTCAGCTCATATAATCCTGTCCCAAAATACCCCCCTGGCCACCAGCACCTCCCTTGCCGCCCCCCGGACCCGCCTCCCGGGCAGGGCCGGCCGGCAGCACCTGCGTCCCGCCGCCTCCGACCGGCCGGCGGCCCCGTGGCGGGTGAGCGCAGCTGGGCCGGCCGGCGACAATCTACTGCCGCCGGTCGGCTCCGCGCCGCCGCCGACACCGCTCCCCGGAGACCGGCCGAGACGCGGCCGGAGAGGGACGGCCGACGAGCATCGACCCCGCGCCGGCCGCCGGTCACCGGGTCAGACTGCCCGCACCGGCGGAACCGGCCGCGGAACAGGGGCCGGCCGACGGCAATGTCGCCGGAACGGTCCCACGGCGGAGCAGGTAAAGGCGAGGAGCGAAACCAGACGGTATGAGACAGGTGGAGGCGGGGGAGGAGCGAGACCAGATGAGCGAGACCAGACCAGACAGTATGAGACAAGTAGGGGCATAGGAGCGAGTCAGACAGTCAGATGGAGACGGGTAGAAGGGGTGAAGAGCCTGACGGGGACAAGGAGAGGGGGGACAGACGGTCCGAAGGAGAAGGGAAGGGGGACAGACGATCTGACAGAGACTGGCAGATGGGGGGGCGGGGGGTAGCAGGCCAAGCGGGAAATGACAGTGTCCCCGACACGACACGTCGGCACTAAGGCCAGCACGGCGGACCGAGACGCCGGGCTAATGAGGATGCCACACCACCAGATGGATGGGACAGCAACGTGGTGCAAGAAAACGGAACGGAACGGAAAGGACAGCGAGCGAGTGAGTGAGTGAGTGAGTGAGTGAGTGAGTGAGTGAGTGAGTGAGTGAGTGAGTGAGTGAGTGAGTGAAGGAGAATAGGTCGAGGAGAGGATCATCTGGTTGGTTCGATTTCTCAGCAGAGCCCGGTCGGAGAAGCGCTAAGTCAAGGAGTCATCAGTGGATCGCCCCACGGCTAATCGTCTCCGCGGATCGCTTCAGTGGATCTAAGTGTTCCAGTAGATCGTCTCTATTAGGCAGGTCTCAGCCGGGACATGCCGGGTATCCGGTCCTCAGCGGATCGTCTCGGCGCTCCGGCTGAACGCGCCCGAGATTGATGGAACAGAACTAATCCGCTCCGGCCGAGTGATACCGACTGTCTGTCCGGCAGCGCGGCGGAACAATCAATAACAGAGTCCAGTAAATGACGCAACAATACTGAGCGCTGGCATGGAAGGATAAAAGTGAGCTAATTAACGTCACATAGCGCTGTAGAGCGGTGCGTTCGCAGCAGCCGGTGCGAGTTGCAGTGCGCCACCGCTGACCCCCGCCCAGTCGTGTCGCCACGGCCAGGCGCGGGCCCGCAAGGTTTGAGCTCGGTCGGTGAGCCCTCTCGGCCGGCCCGACTGTCTGGTGTGCGGATCGATCGGGCCCGCTCCGACAAATGTGCCCCGGCTCCGCCTTCTCCCGGCCGAGCCTCTCCTCATCCCGCCGGCAGCCGCTGGACCGGCCGACCCTCTCCTTCCCCGGCCGAGACTCTCCTTCTCCCGGCCGACACTCTCCTTCCCCGGCCGAGACTCCTTCTCTCGGCCGAGACTCTCATTGGAGTCTCCTCCGAGACTCGGCGAGGGCTCGGCCCGCCGACCCTCTCCTTCTCCTACCGGCTGCCCGGCTGTGGGGTCCCGCCGTTCACCGGACCCCAGAGAGTCGCGGCGCTGCCGGCCCGCGGCCCACGGTCGGGGCACGGTGGCCGCCCACCCGCGCTGCCTAGTACGTCTGTGACTGACACAGGAGGTCCGTCACCGGTCTGTGCAGACAGGGCCGGCGGGGGACGGTGGTGAGGAACCCCGGGGGCGGCCGTCACCGGCAGGAAATGCCCCCGCCAGGCCCGTGTGACCCACAGGTGTTCAGCCGGGTGATAGCGCGGCGCGCCGACACGCGACATTGCTGTCCGGTGACCACTGCCGGGCGGACCAGCCAGTCACGCTGGAACGCTCGATCAGCACGGTTTAACACTTAACAGGTGTGTCGGGTGGTTGGCAGTGCGGACCGCCGTGGTCTCGGGAGTACAGCACTCAGCCGGGGGCTGCTCTGACAATCGGCATTGCACAGCCAGCCCGTCAACAATCCTATTTCGCCGACCAAACAGGAAATGGGAT